AAGTAGGATAAGCACTGGACTGCTAACTGCAAAGTTGGTGGCTCAAACCCACCAGCCTCTCATTAAAAACCCTTTTTAGTGTAGGTATGAGTCAAAACAGATTTAGCAGCACTTAACAACAACATTGAAGTTGTCAAGGACTTCATTCTTCTTGGATCAACTATCAACACTCCTGGAAGCAGCAGTTAAGAAATCAAGTGACGTATTGCATTAGGAAAAGCTGCACAAGACCTTTTTAAAAGTGTTGAAGAGCAAAGATGTCAGCTTGAGGACTAAGGTGTTCCTGACCCAAGCCATGGTGTTTTCAATAACCTCTTATGCATGCAAAAGCTGGACAGTGAATAAGGAAGACCACAGAAGAATTGATGCTTTTGAATTGTAGTGTTGGAGGAGAATATTGAAAGTGCCATGGGCTGCCAAAAGAACCAATAGCTTCGTGTTGGAAGAAGTGCAGCCAGAGTGCTCCTTGGAGGCCAACATTGCCACACTTCATCTCTCATACTTCGGATATATTGTCAGGAGGGACCAGTCACTGGAGAAGCATATTATGTTTGGTAAGGTGGAAGGTCAGAAAAAAAGAGGAAGACCCCCAACGAGATGGATTGGCCAAGTGGCAGCATTGATGGACTCAAGCATGGCAACAGTGTTTCGTTCTGCTGTGCATAAGGTCTCTATGAGTCGGTACCAACTCAATGGCACCTAACAACAACAACAAACTACTTCTTGATGATACTACTCATGTCCTCATCTTTATACACACTCAACAGAATGTAAGCGATGTTTAATCTGATAAACCATATGTGAAAAAAAAATCCATTTTATGTATCAAGAGAACTTTTCTATGGATTTGGGAAAGAAAATGGCTTCAGGGGAGAATCTTAATCTATTTGACCCAGAGACTACAAGCAACATTATGAATTTTCAACAAAATTCTTAAAAGTTTTACATTTCAATTGGAAGAAAAAGGCTAAGAAATATATTGGAGATTTTTCAGGGATAGTGAAATAATTTCATTTTTAAATGCTCATTGTAATATCTAAATTCTTATATGGCTTAGCAACTTAGATGTACAAATATATTCTGGTAGAATGGATGAGACATAAAGCCAATTTTAAAGTTAAAAAGAATAACAGGATTATCTGGGAAGGAAAAGAGGGGGAGAAAAGGTAAGAGTGACAAAAATCTGTGCTTACATTCGGAGTAAAAAGAATATGAATGTTCCAGCTGTAGAAAAGACTAGTGGTTCAAATATATTAAATAAAAATTATGCATAATGTTTTTAAATTATGTATAGTAGATAAGAAAGATCTAATACTCTGAATGGTGATTATCTTTAATTAGTGAGATTATAGGTGACCGAATTTGTCATTTTTGTATTTTCTAGATTTTCTATAATAAATTCCTCCTCTTTTCATAATGAAAAATAGAGAATTTGGCTTTTAAAAAGAAAATTTTAAGATAATGAAAAATAAATTTGACATAAAGTCTACAAATGCTGATAGAATCTATTTATATAACATGTGATAGAATCGCACAGCTGGGTGTCAAAAAGCAGCATATGAATTTTTCATTTTTACCAAGTTAATAGAATTCATTGTGAAGGTTTACAGACCAGATCATCAGATTTTACATTTAACAAATCATATACTTTGCTTCATTACATGGTAGCAATCCTCTCGATGTATCAACAATTAACAGTGTTTCCCTCTATTTACTTTATCTATTGCATTCCTCCCATGTCTCCCGATACCTTCATCTTTCCTCTGCTAAACACTCTCTTGTTACATATTGCCTGCCTTGTCACCCATGTTAACATGTGTCTAGTGGAGTCCTGGTGTGGCACTGTGTGTTAATGTGCTGGACTGCGAAGTCAGTTTAAACCACAAGGTTGGTGGTTCAAGCTCATCAACTGCTCCTCAGAAACCTATACGGGGTCTCTATGGGTCGGAACCGACTTGATAGCACTTAACAACAAAATCCTCCAGTCTATGAATAATTTTCCCTCCCCACCCCTTGTAACCATCATAGATATTTTTTTAATGAATAAAAAAAAATTTTTTAACTGTTTCATGTAATGTATGTCCTTTTGTGGTTGACTGTTTTCATTCAGCATAATGCCCTCCTGGTTCAACCATGTTGTTAGTTTCTACCTTAAATTTGATTGGCACCAAATATGGAAGAGTCCTTAGATTCCATTAAAAAAAAAAAATGTTGTGTTGGTTTTTTTCCTCATGCTTAAGATCTTTATTTATTTGAAAACATTTAGTCCAATTGATATTAATGTTCACTGTGTTTTAGTTTACACAGAAAATTAGAGCCCCCTTTAACAATCTGTATATAAACTGTTCCATGTTGTTGGCTACCTGTTGACGACAGTTTTCACAGTATCATCATTCTCATTATTTCCATTCTGTTTGTTCGGTTTCCATTGATCTAGCTTTCCTTCACCTCCCTGGCTTCTCATTTTTGTTTCTGAGTAATTGTATTTATTGGCCATTAGGTTTCCTATAGTTCTTTGAGGGGGCACATTACTCATACTGTTTATTTTGTACCCCAGTCTATTATTTGGCTTAAGGGAGATCTCCGGAGATAGCTTCAATTCTATGTTCAAAGGTTACTTTAGGGCCACAGTCTTGGGAGCTCCTGTAGGCTATTTCAGTCCTGTAGGTCTAGCCTTTTTTAAGGAACTTGAGTTTTGTTCTACATTTTTTGTTTTTAACAATACATTTCTGAACTACGATTAAGGAATGTATTTCAAAATCAGAGAAGAAATCATTTTTTTTCACAGCTATGAAATACATTATTCACTTCACTATTAAAAAGTCATTGAGTCATGCTCTGAGCCATCGGTGTGGCAACGAGACAGCTACAATCTCAGTCATTAGATAAATAAAGCAACAGTGAAGGAATAATTTATTCTGTTCATGACTAACAGTATTTCTATTTTGAAAAAATCCTCTGGAATATGATTTGTTTTTAATGCTTGAAGCTAATAGTGTAACTATGGGTAAAATATGTTTATTGAGCTGAGCCCTGTGTGCCCTCCTTTCCTTGGCTCCAATCTTTATTAGTAATTATACACTGCCTCATTTATTGGTGACTACACAAACTGCTGGTCTCCAGCTCAGCTGCTGTTTTTGCCTTGATCATTGCTCATCAGACCTCATTTGCTTTCAAATTCTACCTCTGTCATGTGATCTGATCTACTGACACTTGTTTTACATACCAGTTATATACTCTAACCTGCCACAGCCAGTTTCCACTCATGGTACTTAAATAACAAAGGAATATGTTCTATATATACAAAACCATAAAAAAAATGATAGGTAAGAGGAAAATTTGGAATTTTTTTCGAAAATGACTGCAGCCTTTAATTAAATTCTATGTTGACCAGTTATAACTAGGTCTAAAGTGTCACCTGGAGTCCTGGTGTGGTGCCATAGGATAAGCACTGAACCACAACGTCAGTTTGAACCACAAGGTCAGTGGTTAAAAGTCACCAGCTGCTCCACAGAAACCTTATAGAGGGTTACTGAGTTAGAACCAACACTTAACAATAAAAGTGTTACCTATTTAACCATAAATACAACGCAAAATAACTCAATAACTGGTGAACAGTCAGTTGACACTACAAATGAAGTCCAGCAGTGTTAAAACTAAATTCACTGCAAACAATTATCATTTTACTTCTCCTTTCTATCTGCACTGGGCATATTTCCTTCAGCTGTTGTCTTAAAATATATATATTTTAAAACATTGTGCACAGTGTGACCAAAAAACTAGACTAAATTAGAAAGCTTCCTAGTAAGGTATTAAATATAAAATTTACCAGTGCTTAACAGTACTAAAGATACTTAAAATGTTCTTTAAATAGTTCTTGTATTTCTTTATTCACCAGTAAGAGTAAACATTTTTCTAAAGGTGTATTAGTTGTTTCTGCCTGTAAAAGTTGTTTGTTCCAGTCTTTACACATGCACCTAATAGATGTTTTTCTTACCAATTTATAGGAATGCTTTATGTAATGTGGATATTATCAGTCTGTCTTATATGTACTTTGCAGATATTTTCATACTTGTCTGTTTTCTTTCCTTCTTTGTGGTTTTTTGGTTAGGACTCCCTCATGTCTTAATCATAGGTTCATTATATTTAACACATGACATAATAATAACACATTGAGAAATTCCATTTCTCCCATAAATAAAGAATGCTAGTAGTGCAGTGGGTTATGTGCTGGGCTACTGTTGGACAGCAGTTCACACTAACCAGCAGCTCCATGGGAGGAAGATGAGGCTTTTTGCGCTCATAAAGATTTACAGCCTCAGAAACCTTATATAGGGTTGCTAAGAGTCAGAATTGGCTCCAGGCACACTACCACCACCTACAAATGAGAATTACTAAAGTAACACAGTGCTGCTAAAGTTCCCAGCAACCTGGAGGAATCAACACTAATCCTACTTTGTCATTTGGGGAGCCACTTCAAACCACACTCAGAAATGACTATTATTTTCCATGTGATTTAAAACAAACAGTATAAGTCATGAAGTAAAAATACTGGAGAGGTGAAAAATAGCAAATACAAAGTAGAATATACAACAAATTACTCAAACGGAATCAAATTTATTGAAACACTAAACTCAGAAAATAAAAATATTAATCTAAGAAATAAAAATAAAATTAAAACTATGGGAAGTCTTTGTTTCTTTCCCTTAAAGGTGATTTATTGGAAGTATGAAAAGGACTTAAGACTGTTTCTATTTTATGAATATTCATAAGAAATTGTTCTCAAACCTATAAAATTATTTCTCTTTTCAAGAATACTATTTTTAAAGATTAAACTAAGAAAAAATACAAACATAATGCCATAAAAAAACAAAAATTTAAAACAGAAACCTAAAGTATTCCATTAAAATTATCAATATGTTGACTAATACAGTAAGTATAAATGTATATCCTGCTTTATGAAAATCTCTTATACAAAAATACAAATTTACATGATTAAATACTAATAGTTGTTTGTTGCAAAAAGATACTTGATTTACAAAAGGATTCACTGCAAGATCTTCTAAATGGTTAGTTTCCTCAGTCCATTTAACAAAGTTAAATGTACACAATACTAGTATCTCTGTGAGACAGTGATCCAAACTTCTTCCCTTGATGATGTTACCAGTTCATATTTTGTTTCAATAACTTGTCCCTCCACAGAGTGTAAGTGCAGTCTCCTTACCAATACACTCAGAAGCACTGTGGTCACCATATATGCAAACCTAGTCGGGAAGAAAGTCATTAGTTACTACAGATATCCTACCATTATTGAAAGAACACTTTAATTACATATATTTATCATACTCTTCAACAGGGATCGTTAAAATTATAAGTACAGCGTCTGGCATCTTTTCCTTTCACACTGCTTTCTCTAACATCTTACCTCAATTCTGGGCATTCCTGTGTGCCTGAGAATCCAAGCAAGGAGAATGTTTTCATGACCGATTCATTAGCAAATCGGTCTGGATCAAACCTAAAAAGAAGATTTGGGGCTAGTTACATAGTTCCAGTGATGTTTTACATATTTACACATATGAGACTACAAGCATGTATTAACATTTAAAAGCTATGAAAGTAGAAAGTGCTGTCACTTTATATTTACTTGTCACTTATTATTAAGTTCCCAAATTACATTATAACTATAAAATAGATACAAAATATATTTCTCTGAACCCATCAAGGAATCAGATTGTAACACAGATTTTTATCACTTTATGATATAAAGATAAATCATACAAAATTAACCCATGAGTCTTTTGAGAGTGTTTAAAATACCTTTTACATAAAACCATTGATTGTTAATGTGAGGCATTGTACATAAGACTTTTCAATGAAAATATCTATTAAAATTGGACACTTCAGTCTTGAAATTATATTTATCAATCACAAATACATCCAAATTTATTAATAAGTAAATATGAGGAGACCAGGAAGGATATTTTTTTTAATTCTATAGAATTTCACTAGGAGAATGGATATTATTAAAAATAAAACCCACCTACTATGAAGTATAGAAATTCCTCTCAAAAGTAAATGTTTTTAAAGAGCAAAACTCTTGTAAAAGTAAAAATTTAAATTATTTTATTTTCTAAAATAATAAAAAGAAACATGAATTATCTTTCTTTTGGGCATACATTATGTTTGTAATACAGTACATATTAAAATCATATTAATTTAACCAGGTTTTCCTTTTGTAACTCTTGAAATTTGAGACTCAAAGTATTTATTTCTCTGGCTGCATATTTTCAGATTAAAAGAGTATTTACAGTGATCTTTCGAATTATTTTTAAACACTTCACATTTGAGAGTATTATAGTAAACAATAAAAATACAAAACACAGTTCTGAGGTGTTTTACAATCTTTACCTTCATTCTTTTCAGAGTTGAGAGTTTATTTTACCCTGGTTTGTACAGTTGGTAATCTCTCCTCATTCCGTACAGGATTCCTAGTTATTGAAGTCACAGAATCTGAACGAGGGCTCCTTGAAACACAGTCAATATGGTACCAGTAGTGATGTGTTTCTATGCATTTTTTCCCTTTTCTATTTCTTTTTAAAGTAAATTATCTCTAGACATTGTTTAACAGGAAGAGTAAGTTTTGCCAATTATTTATTAAAAGGAAAACTTATGTGGCACTGTGGGTTAATGCGCTGGACTGCAAAGTCACTTTGTACTGCAAGGTTCATGGTTCAAGCTCACTAGACACTTCTTGAAAGTCCTATGCAGGGTTGATATGCATCGGAACCAACTCAATGGCACTTAACAACAACAACATATACCTAATGCTGTCCTGATGTGGCACTGTACAGTTAAGTACTGGACTGCTAACTGCAAAGTCAATGTTTCAAATCCACAAGCTGATCCTCAAAAACTCTATACAGGGTTGCTATGAGTCAGAACTGACTGGAGAGTATTTAAAAACAACAACATTCAACTGCACATAATAAGAAGTGCACGTTGTTGTTATGTGCCGGTGAGTTGGTTCCAACTTATAGCTACCCTGTACAGGGTTTCCAAGGCTGTATATCTTTGCGGATGGGAGCAGAAAGCCTTCTTTCTCATGTAAAATGGCTGGTGAGCTCAAACTGCCAACCTTGTAGTTCACAGTCAAATGATTATCAAACAGAGCCACCCTACTCCCCATATACTTATAATAGCTAAAGTCACAATTAGTGTTAATAGTAAATGCTGCTGAGGCTACAAAGAAATCAATCTCTTACACATTGCTGGTGGAATATAAAATGGTATAGCCACCCTGGAAAATAGTCTAGCAGTTTCTTACAAAACTAAATATACACATGACATACAAATCAGCAGTCACACTCTTAAGACATTTATGCCAAAAAGTTAACCATGATGTTCACACAAAAATCTGTGCAGAAATGCACAAACAGCTCCATTCACAACAGCAAACTACTAAAAGCAACCCAAATGCCCTTCATTGGGAGAATGGTTGAGAGAACTCTGGTACAACCATATAATGGAATGTTATTCAGGCATAAAAAAGAATGAACTATTAGTAAATGTGCAATAATAACCAACAAGCACCTCAAAGGCATTGAGTTTAGTGAAAATAGTCAACCACAACAATGGAGAGAACATATTTGCTGTTGCCAGGGAAGAGGAAAAGAGGGAGCAGTAAGGAGAGGAGAATGAATACAGAGCTAATTTGAGGGAATCCTACTGAGGCATTCAAACAGTCTGGACTGGAGCATGATAGTGGTTATATCAATCTACACATCAGTAAAATTGCACAGTCACACTTAAACAAGTAAATGCAAGGCTTAAAAAATGGTGACACCTGAGTCCAGTTAATAATGAACGAATGTTAATCTTTTGGTTTTGATACTGTGCTACATACATTAAGATATACATAGTTGGAGAAAGCTGAGTGAAGGGTACATTGTTATTGTTAAGTGTCATCAAGTCGGTTCCAATTCGTAGCCATCTTATTCACAAAAGAATGAAAACACTGCTAGGCCCAGAGCCATCCTCAAGATCACTGTTAAGCTAGTGTCCACTGCTGCTGCCTCACTGCTAATCCATCTCATTGACGGTCTTCCTCTTTTTCTTGCTGACCCTCCATTTTACCAAGCATGAGATTCTCCTGATAATATATCCAAAGTTGTTGTTGCTGTTAGGTGACATCGAGTTGGCACTGACTCATAGTGACCCTATTAGGTACAACAGAATGAAACACTGACTGGTCCTGGGCCAACCTCAAAATTGTTGCTACATTTGAGCCCATCGATGCTGACTATGCCAATCCATCTCATTGGGGGTCTTCCTCTTTGTCTCCAACCCTCCACTTTACCAAACACGGTATCTTTCTCCAGAGACTGGTCTTTCCAGACCATATGTCTGAAGTATGAGAGACAAAGTCTGGTCATCCTGGCTTCCAAGGAACACTCTGGCTGTACTTCCTCCAACACAGACTGGTTTGTTCTTTTGGCAATCCATGGTATTTTCAATGTTCTTAATAACTTAAATGCATCAATTCTTCTATGGTCTTC